GTACCGCAATCAACGACATTGGCTAAACGCGAGGACACTCGCAAAGTTAACATGGACCAATGCACCACAGGTCTTCGTGACTCCCATGGTGTATTGATACGAGAACCGATTGGGATACTAGCCAAGCGCCGTCTATTGCTGACGCCTTTCGACAGCAGACGGTGCGCGGGCGATCGTCAACGTGCCTCGGTTTGCAACGAGGAACTGGCCAGGGCAGCCCAACGCACTCCGAAGATGCAATCCCTCTTCGTTGAGGCAGTTCAAAATGCACACGACATGTCCTTAGTAAAGCGTGATATTTTCATGATCGCGCTCATGCGTCTTTTGTTCTCGTCACGAACACGCGAGGACTCGATTTGTGGATGGTCCGACTATCCGTCGACATCCTGACATATCGATCATGGGGCCACCATCAGGAGGATGGGGATGTCCAGCGTGTTCGGGCAACGTCGACATGCGCTTCCCGTCGCGCGACAGGGGCCCAAAACACTGTCGGTGGTGCAACAAGAAGGATTACTCTTGGGATTGCCCAAATTGCAAGAAGAACAACGGTCAGGCTAAACCTGGTCAACTACGTGCGCCTGGCACATGTAAACTTTTCAAACCGTGGAGGCTGCCTGACACCGCGGACAGGAGTCCCTGGCTCCTGCCGAACCCGCAGCCCCACCACTTGCAGCGGCCGCTGCGTCCGAGGCACCAGCCGCCAAACAAACTGCGCGGCTGCGAGCTCCGAGGCCCGGCTCCAGAGCTGGGCCAACAGCGGGCGCCAGTAGCCACGACATCGCAGTATGCAGACGTGCTGCTGAACCGGCTGCGGGGCAACCTGCTTCGAGTGGAGCAGGCAGCTCGGGCGGTCGCAGACGACTACCGCAAATAGTGGCTAGACGAGGGCGACAGCAAGGGGGGGGTCCACCTCCACCACCACCTGCGGGTAACCCTGCTGTTCGTCCAAGGCTTCCAGACAGGTCAAGGTTCGATGTAGTCTGCAGAACTCGCGAAACCCTGACCCATGCGCGGTCAATCGCGAGTTGCGAAAACTACGCTTGAGGTGGTTCCACGCCAAAGAGCCTGAGATATTACTCATCTTAACCAAGGCTGGTCTGGACAGCGTCAGGCTAAACTTGATAAAAGTCGTCTGTGACACATGCAGGGGGTGCAGGGCTCGGGGCCAGCCCGGACATGCCATCATGCCGTCTATCGCGCTACTTGGCAGGTTTAACGATGACGTCGAATGCGATCTGATGCTATATAAACAGGAACACACTATATTTCACATCGTCGATCGCTGCATTCGATTCGGTGCTGGAATCGAGATGCCAGACAAAACGTGACCGGCGTCCAAGACGCGTATCATCGGTGCTGGATGCACTGCGGGCCCGACCGTCGAAGCCAGAAGTCGCATGCGACGACGCCTACTTCATGTCATGGAGGCTGGATTCAACAGGTTAGACTTAACCTCTTGTGTGTTTCCCGTCTACTGCGTGGAGCCTTGTTTGCCGCCAGTGCGTTTACCTTTTGCAATGTATGTCCATGCGACGCATTGTTCTGCCGTCAACTGGCGATGCCGCTCGACTAGCTTGTTCTGGACCACGAACGGCAGGCAGAAACATCCGATCACTCTCGAGAGCAGATTACCCGCCGGGTAGGCATTGAGGCTATTACTCAAGCCACTGCAGTAGCAAAAAGAAACCGCGCACTACGGACCAGGACTACTTTCACTGGTCAGCATTATTATGACGAAGGAGATCTGGTTGACTATCATCGCCCCTCTACTGCAAAGGACGACGGGGCTGGCTGGGATGGATTTTCCTCGGTGGTGCGGCATGATCCTGAGAGGGGTCAAGTCGCCAGAAGGGTGGGGCATCGCGATGTGCCAGCCCAATGCGGCGCGCGCGACATTCATTCTGCGTTGAAGCTTTGATCGCTCGAGAGATTGGCTCGGGTAACGCAGCATTACGGACTGGTGGCATTCGTCACGAGCCGATTGCATATCTGTTAAGAGGAACTTCTTTCGTATCGAGAACGTGGTCTCTGTCATGTTTGCAAGGAGTATTCGCGAGCTACCTCTGGTGACTTTTGTTGGCAGTTCTACGTTGGTGCGCTACGACAATCATGTGGGCCCAGGCTGCCGCTATTACGAAGCCGAAGGCACTGCCCGAAACAGCATTCTTTGATATAGCTGGATCAGCGCACTCTAGGATCATTCAGAGCCTGAAGTCCACCAAACCCCAACCGGGCTTCGACCGAGACAGGACGAAGTTCGAAGGACTGGCTGACGTACCAATACAAGGCAACTGCGTCAGGGAAGCCCCAGAAGTCGAACCGCCACAGGAAGACGGACGGCTTCCCACCATCTATGAGGAGTCAGAGGCGGACCTCGAGGCACACATTATGGAAGTGTGGCGCGCAGAGCCGCACCATCCACTACTCGCTACTCGCTACTCCCTACTCCCTACACAGTACCCACTTCTCACTATCTAACTACTCGCTACTCCCTACGCCATACTCGTTACCCAATGCGCACTATTCACTACCTACTACTCACTACCCACTACTTCCGTCTCCCCACTCACTACTCCCAACTCACTACCCACTCTTCACTACCCAGTATCCAATACTCACTACTCCCTAAACACTACTCACTGCGCACTACTCACTACTCACTAAGCACCACTACCCACTCACCACTATCCACTACTTACTATTCAGAACTTACAATTCACTACTCACTGCGCGCTGCCCAGAACTCACTATTCACCATCCGCTACTCGCTACCCAAGAGGACATATTCACTAGCCACTACGCACTATTCGCTACTCACTACTCACTACTCACTACTCCCTACTCCCTACTCACTAGTCACTAGTTAAGTCGCTACTCACTACTCACTACTCACGACTCACTACTCATTAATTTCTACTCGCTACTCCCTACGCACTACCGACTACGCAATACCCACTTCTCCCTTCTCACTACTCACTATCCATTGTTCACTACTCCCTACTAACTACTCGCAACTTCCTACTCACTACTCACTACTCACTACTCGCTACTCCACTCCCTACTCGCTACGCGCTACTCCCTACTCACTACTCAGTACTGACTCCTGACTACTCCCTCCTCGCTATTCACTACTAACAACGTTCTACTCGCTATTCACTACCCACTACTCGCTACTCCCTCCTCGCTACCCGCTACTCGTTACTCACCACTCACTACTCACTACTCTCTACTCACTGCGCGCTACACGCTACTCACTACTCACTACTCACTCCTCGCTATTCGCTATTGTCTACTCCCTCATCCCTACTCCCTGCTCACTACTCACTATGCACTACGCACTACACTGTTCACGCCTCACTACTCACAATTTCTTGAGTACTTCTGTCCCACTACTCACTACCCGTCACTACTCACTAATCTCTACGCGTTACTCATTACTACCACTACCCATTACCCACTACTCAGTACTCTCCACTCACGACTTACTGCGCACTACTCACTATCAAATACCCACTACAATCCAATAGCTATTCAAAACAGTAGTCTCTACTCACTACCCGAGAGGTCCCATCCCCAGCCCCCTGGTCGGCGCAAAGGGGGGGAGGGGGGGGGGTCGACCCCTCCCTTTCCAGCACCAAAGGGGGGAAGGGGGGTCCGGACCCCCCCCCTTCAAGGGTGGAGGGGTGGGGGGTTCGGACCCCCCTCCCCCGTTTAAAAGGGGGGAGGGTGGGGGTGGGGGGTTCGAAAATTTCACCCCCCCTTTGAAGGGGGGGGAGTGGGGGGGGTTCTGCGAACCCCCCCCCTTTAGTGTATTCAGGGCCATGCACTGGCGCGCTTTCCACGTTTAGGTCGCTCTCCGCCGGCGCAGTTACCCTGCGCTGCCGCCGACGCAGAAAATATAGAGCGGTCCTGTTTCTCGTCGCTTCGTGTTTGAAGACTGCTGGGTATACGTCGCAGGATGTAGTCCTACCAGGGATCGCGGCCTCGTGTGCGCAGACCCATCGTTCTGCTGGGAAATGCGGGTGGGCGCGGGGAGAGGAGGGGGTTCCATGTAGGATCTTGCTGAGGCCTTGCGGCTGGTGCCGCCGATCCCGGAGGCCCCGGCTTGCGACGGAAAGGGGAGGGGAGAGGGCGGGCCCCGGGAGGGTGGCACTCTGACCCGGGACCCCGGGGACCCCCTTGGGCGTTGCGTAATAAGGGGGGTCATACATGCGGGGGTGGCGAGAGTTGTACGAAAAGGTACCCAAACGGTACCTAAACGAGCCCCCTGGGGCTCTGGAGGGGCCCGAAAGGGGCACGAAAGGGGACCGTTTCTGATCCCCCCATTTATGACCCCCCCGTTAAGCCACGCCCCCCCCCCCCGTCCGCGGGGTGGGCGCAGAAAGAGGAGGGGGCTCCACTTGGAAGATTGCCGAGGCTCTGCCAGGCAACATCTGGGATCTGCCACGCCTCCACGGGCCAGGGGAGCACGGGGGCAGACATATCCACAGCTCGGCGGTGAGCGCTGGGGGGCGCGGAGAAGGAGGAGGCCTTCTTGGAAGGCGGAGGGGGTTCTCAGGAGCCCTCCGTCCTTGGACAAGTTCTCTGCGCCTTCGGGGCAGGCTCAAACAATTTTTCAGGAGGCTGGAGGACTTCCGAGCCTCCTGAGAAGGCCCGCCCCCCCCCCCCGCCCTTTCACGCGTCCCCGGATCACGGGGGGGCCAGGGCCCTCGGGCCCCTCAGAGTTTGGGGTTCCCCTTCTCCCCGGCGCGGCTTCCCGGGAGGCTCCTCCCGGCGCTACAAGCAAGGGGCCCGAGCAGAAGGAGGAGGAGGATGAGGGGGAGGAGGAGGAATGACTGACTGACTCTGTTTGGGGTTCAACTTTAATCCTTCGTGCCACAATCGGGAACACACGCAAAATGAGCATGACTCTCTCAGTCAACGCTGTGGCGCATCACGGCGCTGAGAAGGAGGAGGAGGAGGAGGAGGAGGAGGAGGAGGAGGAGGAGGAGGAGGGTAGCCATGCTGGCTCAGGGCCCTCCGCCTAGAGGAGCCGCCGGCGGCGCGCAGAGGTGAGGCTTCGACGTCTGTCGCTCCGACTCTTTCCAAGCCGCCGCCGAGATCCATGGGACTGCTGCCCCACGTCTCGACGTACTCCGCCGGCGCTGCGGAGCAGTCCGCCGTCTTCGTGGGCGCGCTGCTGGGGTTCCTGACGTCGGCGGCGCTGCTGGCCCACGCGGTGGCGTGCCGGGGCCTCGCGCGGCAGCTGTGGCGGGCCCTCGCCAGCAGGCTCCAGTGGTCCGACCCTGCCATGCGAGAGGACGTACTGAAGAAGATCAGAGCCGAGAGTCTGCATCACGCCTGCTGCATAAACCTCTTCGTCACCGTGTGGTGCTGCGTGAACTGCGGCATGATGATCGTCCACATCGCCTCCGGAGCCCCTCGGTGGATGACCGTCTGGCAGGACGCGGTGTGGACATGGGCAACATTTGCCTGCATCATCTGCCAGATGGCCCTGAGGCACACGCCGCACCACCTGACAGTCGACGCGGTGTATGTGTGCTTCATGGTCGGGCAGACGCTCTTCGTGAGCGTGGGCCCCGCGGAGCAGGTGCCTTTCATCTCCGCGGCGGGCTTCTCGGTCCTCGTCCGTGGGTTGTGGAGCCTGGCGTGCATGCGGGTCCCCGCAGTCACGGTCCTGACGACTTTCCACTTCCTCTCCGTGTGCGCTGGCTTTGCACGCACACAGGCGCCCTGCGCCGAGGACGGCGGATCCCAGAACCTCCAGGTATTCGTCCTGTGTGAGTTCATTGGGGATGCCGGGATAGTGCTGTGCACCCTGGTGTGGCGGCACTTCTGCCGTGTGCGGGTCCTGCACGAGATCCAGGCTTCCATATCGCAGAGCGAGAACGAGGCGGCGAGGAACCTCCTCAACATCGTCTGCGACTCTACAGTGGAGCTGGACGGGAAGCTGCAGGTCATGGACGAGACCCCGCGCCTCGCGAGCCTCCTACAGCACGGCTCTGACCGGTCCCTGAGGGGCTCGAGCATGCTGCAGTACGTGATAAAGGAGGACCAGGGGCTGTTCGCGGACCGCATCTGCTCCGTCAGCGACGAGTGTATGGCGAACGTGTTCCACGTGCGCGTGCGCGACGGCATCAACAATGTCCTCACCATGGAGGTCTTCCACGTCCGGGTGAACCGCTTCCTGAGGTTGGGGTCGGGGATCGGTTGCAGAATGGACTTACCCCAAAACTCATTGTTCCTTCGAATCGACGGACCATGAGTATAACGCGCTCCCCATCTGCAGAGGTTTTTCCGCGCATGTCCAAAAGATCTGGCCGAAAATAGCAGGCTCGGGGTGCATCAGTTGTGCAGTCGATCTCCCTGGGTAGTCGAAGGTCAGACTGTCAGACTGGATTGGGCCCCAAGGGCCAATCTGGCCTGGCCATGTTGGGTGATTTGGGTCATTCGCCAGCCTGGATTCGCGTGGGCTCCCTCGCCAGACATGCCCCCGTTGGCCAGACGGGGCCTGCCAGATTGGCGCCAGAGTGGCCTCGACTGCCCAGTCTCCCTCTCGACGAGGGCCAGCTCCCACCTCATCGGGCTGCGGGAGTACAACGACGCCGCGGAGAACGTCGGCCAGCTGCGGCTGCCCGAGGCGCCGGAAGGAAGGGGGCCCGTGGCGAGAGCACCGGGGGGCCCTCCCGCCTGGCCCACGGCTCGCGCGGCGTCGGTCCCCGGGCCCTGCCCTCGGACTCCTCCCGGCCTGTTCTGCAAGCCTCGTCAAGAATTTGGTAGTTCCCAAACGCGGTGGTGACAACACCTGGCGGTGAGCCTCGGGCGACTTGGTGTCACCGCCCAGTTTGGGGACTCGTGCGGTTTTCCGAGGATGTCCCGGACACTGGTGGGTCCAGGAGTCACAGAACCCGGTGGTGACCCCGCGTCCCCAAACCCAGCGGTGACCTTTTTGGGGATTCCAGGTCGCCACCTGGTATCTCACCACCCGGTTTGGGGGCCACCAACAAATAAACAGAAACGCAGTTGGAAATCACGACGATCGATCTTCTCGGGCACTTGTCAGAAACTGCGTTCTTCAATGCTGCGGAGGGGTCGTCGGCTTGGAGCCCTTGCGTCCACGTCGGATATCTAGCGTCAGCATTGGAGTAGCGCCGACCATACAATCACCGAAAACAGAATCCCTCAGTTTATTTTTGACGAGGGTTGTAGGCTCTCGGGGAACAGACAGCGACATGAACATTCGGGGGCGGCAAAGAGGGGGGTGATGACTAGGGGGGGGGCGGGTATCATGGTGGGGGCCCTGGTGTTTCCCCAGATCTCGTGGCGCCCCTTCTCATTTCATGACGTCCCCGGCCCCCCCAACCTGGGCCGCGCACATGCCGCCGGTCATGATTTGCACCCCCCCCCCCCCTTGGACACCCCCCTCTTGGCCGCTCCCGAAACATGAAAGCGCGGAGGCCCGCGCGGAGTCCTCGCATCGGCGCTGGGGCCCCCTGGGCGGCGCCTCCTGCGCGCCGCCCCATGGCGCGCTCCGCGCGCCATGGGGGGGGAGCAATGGCAGCGCCGGTCCGAGAAGCCCGCGCGGGCCTCGGAGGTGTTACAGTCGGGGCCCTGAAGAAGGATCCCTTTTCGTTGGGGAGGGGCTCCGCGTTCCTGAAGTGTGTCGCAGCTTGCCTCAGGTTTCCCTTATTTTTTCGATAGGAAATCGAAGTTTAACTTATGGGAAAAAGGGGCCTCGTTCCTTATTTTGGGTTCCTTAGGTCAAGCCCCCGACTGTAGGTTCACGGCGTTGCTTGTTTTATGTCGAGCGTGTCCCTCTACAGAAGGAACATTTTAGATCGTCAACAACTCGTCCAGGGATCTTCGACCATTTTTTGACTATTCCTGCTTCTCGCTGGACTCTTTGCAGTTCTCGCCCCAAAGCCGCCTCGCCTGTAAGAGGACGTGCCCGACCTAACACTGCTTGTTCCCCGACGCTCCTCGGGGCGGCTCCGGCTGTGGCAGTGGAGGAGAAGCCCGCGGAGGGGAGGCCCGTACAGGGCTCAAGCAGCGCCAGGGCGAGAGGAGGGCCGCCGGTGCCTCGATACGGGTCCCCCTCGGCGAGGGGCCGAAGCGGAGCAGGCGCCACGGCGCCCCGAAGGCCAGCGAGGCGGGTGGGCTTGCTTTCCACTACCAGCAGAAAGCCCATGGTTCGCTAGGGACTGGTTTCCTTTCAAAACAACCCAAGCCCTTCCAAGACCCTCCCGAAACCCTCCGAAGACCCTCCCGGAAAACCCTCCTGGAACCCTTCCCCGATGGGTTTCGGAGGCTTGCGGGAGGGTCGCGGTGATTTTGCAAGGAAACCAGTCCTTAGCGAACCCTGGACTTTAAGCACTACCACTACCGTAAGTAGGAGGGGGGAGGGGGTCCTCCTCCTCCTCCTCCTCCTCCTCCTCCTCCAGCTCGTCTTCCTCCTTCTCCTCCTCCTCCTCCTCCTCCTCCCCCCCCTCCTCCTCCTCCTCCTCCTCCTCCTCCTCCTCCTCCCCCTCCTGCTCTCCCTCCTCCTCTCCACCTCCTTCCCTTCCCCTCTGACTACTGGTGGTGGAAGTGGAAAGCAGGCCCATCAGAGGCGGCCCCGCCCAAGGGGTCGCCCTCTCCGGCGGACGCCGAGGGGGCGTGCCCGCCGGGGCATGAGCTGGGCGGTCCGCCGTCCTGGGAGTCGTCCTCGCCCACGCCGTCGCCCTCCACCAGCAGCCTCTGCGGCGGGGATGGCGAGGTCGCAGCCTGGATCGAGCTGTGCTCCGACTGCTGGACCATCTGCAGCTCCACCGCGGGCTTCGCGCTGTTCTGGGGCTCCGGCTCGAGGACCTCGGGGAGGGCCAGGTTCGCCTCGAGAGGCCCTGCTCAGGAGGCGCCCCAGGTGTGGTCCGGGGTGGCAGCGCCCCTGCCAGATGTTTGCCCCCCCCCCCCCCCCTTCACCCCCCAGAGGAACAGCCGCATCTCCCCGGGGGCGCGCGAGCTGCTGCAGTGGATCAAGCCCGACCAGAAGGAGGACCTGATCGGCTGGGCGCAGTCCTCGTACCAGCAGCTGCGGGGCGTGGTGCCCTTTATGGGCGCCGCCTCGAAGGGCGCGAAGCATTCGGTTCACTTCCGCCCCCCGTCGCTCTGGCAGGTCAAGTCGAGGCTCGCGTATGTGGCCAACATCACCATCTCTCTGCCCAAGGCCAGTATCGTCTAACCCATCCCCATCCGCGTCGGGACTTGGTTTCTCAGCCCCACCAGCGCACCCTCCTCGGTGGGGATAGGTCTCAGGAAACCTGAATGCGCATGCATGCATGCTTGCATGCATGCATGTGTATACGTGTGTGCGTGTATATATATATATATATATATATATATCTATCTCCATTCAGGTGGGTAAGCCGGCCAGTGGGACCAAGGCCACGCCACACCTTGTGTGCGGGCACAGATGTGCCCCCAGATGGCCGAACGCGAAGCGGAAGCAGCGGCTAGCGCGCCTCGATCTGGCCTCCCCGCGGCCCCCCCAAAGCCGCGCACCAAAGGTCACTCTTGCCCAGGGTCACTCTTGCGTGTAGCCTAGGGATAGGGATCGGCCAAGCGATTCTCACAAGGACGAGCGCCAGCACCAGGCCATGATTGCGCGGCTCGCCTTCTCCGACATCCGGGTGCTGCAGCAGGGCCGCGCTCCGCCGACCGTGCAGGCTTTGTAGAGTGGGGCCAAGGCCACGCCAGTGGGGACAGGGTTAGAACGTCCAGGGTTCGCTAGGGATATGGAGGACGATCAATGGAGAGGAAGCATGCTGCCGAAAAAAAATCCAGGTGTCTAAGACATGTTCCAAAAACGTTTTAAACATGTAAACCATGTGTGAAACGTTTTCAGAACATGCTTTACAATTCTAAACACATCTTTAATTCAAAGATAGGACTGTTAGAGTGTCCACTGTCGTGGCATCCACAACTGTAGAGTGGGGCCAAGGCCACGCCAGTGGGGATAGGGTGAGTACGTCCAGGGTTCGCTAGGGATTGGTTTCCTCTCAAAGTAGCCGGCACCCTTCCTGCACCCTCCAGAAACCCTCCAGAAAGGATTCCGGGAGGGTTTTCGGAGGGTTTCGGGGGGTTTTGGAAGGGTTCTGGAAGGGTTTTGGGGGAAGCCAGTCCCTGGCGAACCCTGCGCTCTCTATGGATAGGGATCGGCGAAGGGATGCTTACAATGGCTGAGCACCAGCACCCGTCCCCATGGCGGTGCGGCTCACCTTCTCCGGCGTCTGTGTGTGGCGCAGATGCGCCGCGCCCCGGCCAACGCCTGCAGGCTCTGTATTTGCCAGCCTCGAACGTATCCCTATCCCTAAGATTGACACGCCAAAAGGCGATGACAATCTTAGGGATTCGCCCTCAAAAGATAAGGGAATCCCTAAGATTGGCATCGTGATGAGGAGGTGCCCAGCAGAGGGATGGGGATCTGTTCCAGGCCGGTAGTGTGCCGTGCCGCCGCGACTGCCGGACGGCCAGCGTCCGTCGCCGCGACTTTTCTGGCTCGGCTGCCGAGGTTCCGCCGATCCGCCTCCTTTCTCACCACCCTCCCTCCTCCTCCTCCTCCTCCTCCTCCTCCTCCTCCTCCTCTCCTCCTCCTCCTCCTCCTCGCTCCTACTCGTTCCCCCTCGCTCCTCCCTGCTCCCTTCTTGCTTGCTTCTCGCCGCCTGTCACCACCCACCAAACCACCCCAACCCAGCCCGAAGGCTCAGATTTACCCTCGATTTCCAGCGGGGGAGGGTCGGGAAACATCGAAGAACACATGTGGAACCCTTACCCCCCCCCCCAACCCGAAATTCGGGCCTTCGGGTTGGGTTGGGGTGGTCTGGTAGGTCGTCACTTTCGATCGCCGACCCGACTCGTTTCGATTCGGTTCTGGGCTCTCCTGAATCAGTGCTTGCACCGAAGCGGTCCTGGCGGATATTGAAAGATTTGGCGAGAGTTCCGGGCCGTCTTCGGCAGCTGGCTGCGTTCCCGGGTTCCCGGTTCCGGGTTCCCGGGTTCGGTTGCTGGTTCTGGGCCGATCTCGGGATCCCACGATCGAATTCACCATCGATCTCATGATCGATCTCACCATCCATCTTAATCAATCGATCTCACCATCGATATCATTGTCGATCTTACACAAAACCATCCGTTGACTGGGGTTCTACCCGGGTGTAATTTTATCATGCTCTTCGTGTGGATCATCCGCTCACAAGAAAGCGGCGTGAGATCCTAGACAGCTTCTGCTTGTGCTCCAGGAGGAACGGAAGCGGGACACAGCGCAACGCAGTGAAACCAACCAAGGAGGAGGGACCAAGGATGGGGAAGCGCTGGCCCCACCTGAGGCACCTTCGATGCCTCCTGTGCCAGACCTCGTGTAAGAGAAGGACGCGCATCTCGAAGTGCGACATGTCCTCGACGTCGGCCCGCGCGGAGCGCCGTCGGTCGCAGCCGCGCGTGACCGCGTGGAAGTTGTGGCGACCGCCCCCGCACGGTGCCCAGTCGCATCTGACACGCCCGCTCACAGTTTATAAGGCATTTTGCTGACCGCTCAGCCTTACAACCAAGAGGCGTCCTCGCAGCGCGTGGCGCCGAGCATGATGTCTGAGATGGGCGTACTTCGTACTTTGCACAGGCCGTCGCGTCTGTTGTTTCACACAGTCTTCGTTTCCGCATCCATTTCTGGGGCGTGCGGATCTTTCAGTTGCCGGGCGGACTTGCTTGGAGGAGGAGGGGGAGCAAACTTCTCCCAGAGGTAGGCTAGTTTCCGGCCTGGTGCCTAGATTCGTGCTGCTCGCAGTTGGCCGCCTTCACAGGCGAGCCAGGGCTCACACCTGGCAAGGGTTTGTCGCTGAGGACGGGGAGGTGTCCCCCCTGGTCAATTCTTTACGCTTCGCGTATCCCCACCAGCCCATCTCACAGCATCAACTCTTGCGAAACATGCCGACAGTCGTGTTTTTCAGGCGTGTGTCCGCTTGGCCCCGCATATCTCCCCTGTTCCTCCTTCCTCCCGCCTCCTTGTACATCCTCCTTGTGGGGGGAGCGGGAGAAGGACGAGGCGGAGGAGGAGGGAGAGAAAGCGCTCCTCGTGATTTGAGTCGTTTGGGGTTTCTCGTCCTGGTGTGAGTCGTTCGGGCTCTTCGTGGTGTGAGTCGTTCGGGCTCTTCGTCCTGGTGTGAGTCGTTCGGGCTTCTCGTGGTGTGAGTTGTTCGGGCCCCTCATCCTGGTGTGAGTCGTTCGGGCCCCTCCTCCTGGTGTGACTCGTTCGGGCTCCTCGTGGTGTGAGTCGTTCGGGGCCCGCGTCGTGGTGTGAGTCGTTCGGGCTCCTCGTGGTGTGAGTCGTTCGGGCGCCTCGTCCTGGTGTGAGTCGTTCGGGCCTCGCTGGTGTGAGTCGTTCGGGCCCCTCCTTGTGGTGTGAGTCGTTCGGGCTCTTCGTGGTGTGAGTCGTTCGGGCCCCTCGTCCTGGTGTGAGTCGTTCGGGCTCCTCGTGGGGCCTCTTGGGGGCCTCTTGGAGCCTCTTGGGGCCTCTTGGGGGCCTCTTGGGGGCCTCTTGGGGGCCTCTTGGGGGCCTCCTGGGGCCTCTGGGGGCCTCTTGGGGGCCTCTTGGGGCCTCTTGGGGGCCTCTTGGGGCCTCTTGGGGGCCTCTTGGGGGCCTCTTGGAGGCCTCTTGGGAGGCTCCTGGGGGCCTCTTGGGGCCATCTTGGGGCCTCTTGCGACCTCCTCTGAAGCGCAAAGGAGCGCTGCCCCCTGAGAAGGACAAACTGAGCCCAAAACCTTCGTAAAAGCTATGGTTTTGCTATGAAGGAAGATGAGCGCGGCCCCCTCAGGAGGCCAACATGGGGCCAAAACCGTAGTAAAATCAATGATTCTGGCTTTAAAGAAGAGCAGAGGGGCCAAACTGGGTCCCCCCGTCGGGGCCAGAATCCTCGTGAGGGTCGTCGTTTTTTGGCCCTCCCAGGGGTCAAAAAAAGACCCCCCTGACGACACCCCAGACTCCCTGTCCAGGTCCAGGGGGAGGGGTAGGGGGAGGGGTAAACCCCTCCCTGAAGGGGAAGAAGGGGGGTTGAGGACAGAGCGGGCTCTCTAAACCACTCACGCCCAAAGGGCTGGTGGGATTCCATCCGCATAAATGCGGCGGCGGCGGCGAGGACGACGACTGACGACGGACGACGGACGGTGGACGACGGATGACGACGGACGACCGACGACGGACGACGGACGCAGACGACGAGAACGGCGACGACGACGATGACGACGGACGACGACGTTGACGACGGACGACGACGGCGACGACGGGCGACGGGCGGCGGACGACGGACGACGCCGGGCCACGGACCACGGGCGGCGACGGACGAAGGACGACGGACGACGACGGGCGGACGATGGCCGCAGGCCGACGATGGACGACGACGGGCGAACGGACGATGGACGACGGACGACGACGGACGACGGACGACGGACGACGGACGCAGACGACGACGACGACGACGACGGCGACGACGACGACGGACGACAGACGACGGATGACGGACGACGGACGACGCTCGCGTGGCGACGACGGACGATTGACGACGGACGACGGGCGACAGGCAGTGGACGACGAGCGACGGACGACAAGGACGGACGACAGACGACGGACGACGGAGGACGGAAGACGATGGACGACGGACGACCGACGTCGATGCGGACGGCGACAGCTACGACAACGACGACCACGACGACGACGACCACGACGATGGACGGAGTCCGTCGATGGTCGATGGACGATGGACGATGGACGACGGACGCGGACGGCGACGCCGACGGCGACTGCGATCGCGACTACGACGACGACGACGATGACGACAGACGACGGACGACGACGGACCACGATGGACGACGACGGACGACGGGCGACGCACGATGCACGACGATGGACGACGACGGACGGGCGACGGACGACAGATGACGACGGACGACGGACGATCACGGACGACGGACGATGGACGACAGACGACGGACGACGGACGACGGACCACGGACGGCGGACGACGACGACGATGACGATGACGACGACGGCGGCGACGACGGACGACGACGAGGACGACGACGGACGACGACGACGACAGCGACGACATCGACCACGTCGACGATGACGACGACGGCGACGACGACGACGACGACAGACGACGGACGACGGACGCAGACGACGACGACGACGACGACGACGACGACGACGGCGACGACGACGACGAGGACGACGACGACGACGACGACGACGACGGCGGCGACGACGACGACGGCGACGACGACGCCGACGACGGCGGCGACGACGACGACGGCGGCGTCGACGACGACGACGTTGACGACGACGACGACGACGTTGGACGGACGGCGCCGGACGACTACGACGACGATGCTTCTCCTTTCCCTCCTCCTCTTCCTCCTCTTCCTCCTCCTCCTCCTCCTCCTCCTCTTCCCCCTCCTCCCCCTCCTCATTGTCCTCCTCCTTCTCCTCCTTCCTCCTCCTCCCCCTTCTCCTCCTCCTCCTCCTCCTCCTCCTCCTCATCGTCCTCCTCCTCCTCCTCCTCGTCCTCCCGTCCGTGCTTTCCGCTCCTCCGCCCTGAGGTGAAGGGCGAGATCGCCGCCCACATCGCGCAAGGCGGGTCCCCCGCCCCGCCCAGCGCGCCAGAGTTTGGCGCCCTTCCCGGACCCCCTCGCGTTGTGACAGACATCAGGAGGAGGAGGACTTCCCTCCTGGCTTGGCTTCCCCTCCTGGGCCTCTCCCCCCCCCTTGGAGCACCCGCTCTGGGGGCACCTGCGGCGGAGGGTGGCCAGAGGTCGGCGGGCAAGAAGGCCAGAGGCCTCCCAGACGGGGTCCGAGCAAATGGGGTCGGAGGACCCCGCCGATGCATCAGCGATGCATCGCCGATGCACTGGCGATGCATCGGCGATACACCCGCGGCGTCGGCGCGGAGAAAATCGGGCCCCACATCAAGCCGCATCGCCTATGCATCGCCGATGCATCGGCGGTGCATCGGCGATGCGGCGCGATCCTGCGACCCCCATCTACTCCGACCCCGTCCGGGAGGCCTAGAGAGGCGGCGGCCAGTCTTGGACATCTGAGAGCTTTCCAGGGGGAGCTATGTTGCCCCAGGAGAGGGTGAGGGGATGCAGCGGGTAACTACTTCATGGAGCGGTTTTCGGAGGCTGGCATCCTCAGAATGGAAACTGCAGTCGGACTGAGGCTAGAAGAACTTCCCTCAAGAACACGAGACCCTCCGCTGGCCAAGACACGCAGAACATCCAAGGGTACTCTCGGGGCCCCCCAAACGGTGCGGTGACCACACCGTGCAGTGAGTCGGTGGGGATTTGGGGTCACCGCACGGTTTTTGGACTCGGGTCGTTCTCCGAGGACGTCTCCGGCGACAGGGGCCTCCAGGGTCCCAAGACCGTGCGGTGACGGACCGTGCGGTGAGGTCTCTTGGGGTTCCGAGGTCACCGCACGGTCTGTCACCGCACCGTTTCGGGACTCCAAAGTGCTCTCCCCAGGGTGCACACGAGCAGCCCAGAAGCACGAGGAACATCAGGGTGCCCTCCCCGAACCGATCT